AGTCCTTCATTATGAACTGAAATAGCACATCCAACATGGTGCAAACAAGGCCTTTAGGCGACATTCATCTCATCCATCCGTCCCCATAAGCCAGTCTCACGTGTCATCAGTGTTTGCAAACCGTTCAGAAAAGTCAATACTCCGATAGACTGATGCAACGATGGGTCAAATATGGCAGAGGACACATCACGCTAAGACCGCTGGGCAAGTGTGGGCAGCTCACAGACCGGATTAATTGGCTACGTTATGAGGGCCAACAAAGAAACCAGTGTTGTTGGGTTTAAAGCAAGCAGTTGCCATTTAAAATATCAATAAGATTAGTGGGTTTTTTGTGTGTGACTATACTGGCTTGTCCTCAAGTGCAACCAGTCCATACTAATTAGTTAAACTAAGTTAAACTTATCCAGGTGGAGTCATAGGTTTTCCTTAAGCACATTCAGTTTGGGCAACAGCAGAATCTGGTATAGAACTTTCCTCTCTATCATTTTCCACTAAAGAGCAGCAACACCGGTGGTCTAGGCTAGGAAATGCAGATGGTCCTCTCTCCAGGCATCCACCTTTGTTATCCTCCACAAACATTAAATAGGCCTCTGCAGATGATGCATGTGTGTATATATGTTTGTGTATGTGTGATTTTGTTAGTGTGCAGGAAAGTGAGGTTCCAGGGTTTTGAAACATAAGGGAACATTGCACAGGAAATGCTCTCCGTAACATCCTCCTCCAAGAGGCTCCTTTTGTGAGTGAGGTAGAGTGGTAGAGCATGCCCTAGCAAAGAGGAAGACAAAAAAAGAGAAAAAGAGGTGGTATAGACTACCCTAGTTGTGCTGCATTTTATCCCAGCCTCCACTAGCAGTGATTAATTCTGTCCTGAGGGGAGGTGGTGACATGACCTACTACTCCATGACTACTACATGACATTTCTACTATCTCTGAACAATTACAGCCTGTCTGTTGGTGGAGTGTCAAACTGCTTTGATTCGAGGAAGGAAAAAGGAAAGGAAAAAACTGGAACAAAAAAGGTTTGTACTCATGGGGTTCTTTGTTTCCCAGTGCTGGTAAGATGCTCAATCAGAAGTACATTGTTTCCTGCTCAGTCAATACATAGAGAGGCTTAGAGCAAAACCTGCCCAGAACAATATGGAGTCTGCAACCCTAAAGAAATGTCACACAAGCGAATTGTCAAATGACATGGACTTACTGAAATTAGAACTATGCTATTCATAAATGACAAGATTAAATGCCAAAAACTGACCTGCCAAAAAACAACGACCTAGAATCTATAACTTAAATAAGGGGGGAAAACAGCCGAACAAAAAAATTGGGGAATCTGTGTTCCAGACCTCAAAACCTGTTTCATGGACCATTTACCGGCAAAGATAAAAAGCAAGCATCTTGGAAGCACATGCCCTGTGTCCCTTCTAACCCGGTGAAACAGATGAATGTATTACAAAAAAATTGCTGGGATTGGAAAATCCTGCTACACTGAAAATGAAACAAATTATTGAATTAAAAATAAAGATTTAACAACACGGTCAGGGGTCGAGCATTTAAAGGAGAGACTATGCTGAAAGATAATTTGCAATAGAACAATTTTGCAAGCTTACATAGCTGTTTCACCAAAACAACGTATTTCTTTAAAAACTGATGACAATTAACAAATGAATACTTTTACTGCAGATCCAGATCATGGTGGCAGGTGACAGGTAGAATATAAAATACCCCCAGCATGGGTTTCCTATCAGCTGGATGTGCCACCTCAAGGAGGTGTTCAGGCATCCTATTGAGATCCCCAAGCCAACTTTACTGGCTCCTTTCAATCTGAGGGAGCAGTGGTTCATCAAAGGTTCTTCCGGATGTTCTTGTCCCTGAAGGTGAGCCAAGACACCCTGCAAGACCAATGCATTTTTGTCCCTTGTGTGTTCTTTCAGTCACTACCCCCAATGTCCTTACAATAGTAAAAAGCTGGTCCACTGTTCCACATTCAGGATGTCATTTGCATTAATCCTCCTGTATCTACAGTTCAACAGTCGGTTGAAGCCTCCTTTCCAGCACCTTGGCAAAAGAAGGACCCCGGAGGATAAGCAGACTGATACCCTAATAACTGAAGCATACTGTGTCAGCCGAGACAGCCGAAACACATTAAGCATCCTGCCCCAGGGAGCTTTTTGATTATCTGTAACCTTCGCCAAAAAGATATGCCAAGCTTGCAAGTCTTACAACTTTGCCTCCTCCATAGAGGCAATATCTGTTGTGTTCAGCAGTTTCTCAAATGGTTCCTCATACACCGCCCTATAATATTCCCAGTCGAGGTCAGCGGTCTTCCTCTCCTGCTGAGAGGCCCCTACTCCTCCTTCTTAGGGATGTCAAGATACCAGAAATTTAGTTGTCGATACAATTACCAATAATTGAAGCATGTGCGACTGTTACTAGACGGTACAGCAGGGGAGTTTGTCCACAAGTTAACTGATCCTGGATACTTGTACTGGGAGTGACACTTGGTTCACACAGCTGACCTGAGCAGCGCGTGAAGGCTATAGCGCTGAACAGCTGCATCTGGCACGCGCAGTGTTTACACCGACAGCGTGTCAGCTGTGCGGCTGCTGCAGAGCTGCTGCTGCCAGTCCTATCTTTCTAAACTGAGTTTGCCTTTGATAAATACCATACAATAAACATATTACATTGTTAACATAAGAATGGATTCTGTCCACAGAAATGCCAGAGAGCTTTTAATCTGAAACAGATACAGGAGGTGTTGAGTTTAAAAATAAATGTATATTTTTGTGAAAGGTGTATATGTTGCTGGTATATTGTTGATATGACTATGAACAGAACCCTTTCACGGTCTATTTCTGCTGGGAACCGCGTGGAAAAGATAGGCGAGACCTCGACTCTCTAGTGAAGCGTCGCTGCAGCCACAGCCGAGATGTGAGACGCGCCACTCAGTGGGGGGGTGTGACCTAATCTGTTCATATGGGTGCCGGACTAAGAAAAACTAGGATGCTCCGCCACGCACACGCGCTTCTCAGGTAGGCAGTGTGAACGTGCCATGGGAGATGCTTTGCTGAAGCAATGGTGCAAAACACGATGTTAGAGAGAAGTGTAAAAATATTGTAAATTCATTATGAAACCATGTCGGGAGAAATTAGTGCTGCCACAGTCTATAATTAATGGGAAAAGCTGCTGTAGGCGTAGGCTTATATGTTTCTCTGTCAGGTCCGGAAGAACTGAATCCCTGGTACCTATGGTACTGTAAGTACAGTCACATTTTCAGACTTTGGGATCAACTTGGTACAGAAGTATCGGTTCTGGTGATATGTATAATCATTCCTGAGTAATCTGAATAATTGGACGGTTTGGCAGAACCTTGCTGAGGCCAACCAAAAGTCAATCTCATCTCCCCAAACTTCTTCCACATTTAAGATTTTGGTTCTGCGACAACAGAAGTTGCAATCCTTCCAGACTCCACATTCTTGTCTGCTGATTCAGAATTCTTTTGGGCAAACCAAGACTGAAAAGCCTCTTTCTTTAGCTTGACAACCTCTCTCAACGGTGGTGTCCACCAGCAGGTAATTAGGGTACAGTCACCGCAGGCACCAAAGACCTTCTAACCATAATTCCTACAACAACATCAGTAATGGAGGCTTTGAACATGGCACAATTGGATAACATGTCCCTATCCTTCAATGAGGTGTGAAAATTAAGACTTTGCACAAATGGGCTATAGCCAGACATTCCCAGTTCAGTTCACAGTGCATTTGGGTTTAGTGGCTTTTGCAAAGGGATAGCTTTTGCCACCACTTGATCCAAACATGGTGTTCATTATAGGCAGCCCAAAACAAAATGCCACTGAGCAGGCCATTCCACACAGTCAGCCCCATGGCTTCTCTGTTTTCCCCCACAAGTCTTGAAGTCCCTGTAAAAAACTACCCAGGTGGCGCCCTCTCTTGAACCTATCAAGAAACTATAAAATGGCTGGATAGCCCAAACTGCTGTCCTGTGGGTAGAAGCAACAGTCTTTCCATCAATGATAAGGATCTTCCATTTTGTGTTGATTTTGGCCAACCCTGTGGACAAAAACGGTATTGTTTCTACCACCTTGTATTATTGCTTTCAAGGGGAATCCTACCTGACCTGACCCAGTGACAGGCATTAAGAATAACTAAACAGAAATAGCCTGTCTTTTCACTGATGGTCTTGTTTGTTTATGTGGGTCATATAAAGACATCAGTATTAAATTGAAACTGTTTCATAACCAGTTACAAACTTGTGGTATGTTAAAATTTCAAAGCCAGTGCTGAGGATAGAGGTGAATCCAAAAATATCTAGTTGGTACCGCTTCATGTCCCATATTAAATCAAGCTGCTTCCACAACAGAGGGGAGATATTTCACATCTCAAGAGCCACTTTTCATAGCCATGGGTTAGCACGTCATGGCCTCCGCCTCAGGCCACCAACCACTTGGCAATGCACTAGACTTCCACACCTAACCTTTGAGGGGGTTGACCCACATGGCATAAGACCCATGTTATTTGTTGGGGCTGAGCCTTACCATGGCCCAGTTGATACAGGCCAGCCACAAGGGACTTGCTTGCAAGCTCCTGTTCTAGACTTGGCTGCAGGAGGAGGCTTTGGTTTCTCTGTTCCAAATGAGGTTTCTCTTTTCCCAAAACACTCATTTATAGAGATCTTTTGATAGCTCTTACTTTGGCCCCTCACTGGAGACCAGTTTGACTTGGACCTGACCTGGGGTGCTTTCACAACACCACCACTCCCAGTTTCCCAGGGGAATGACACGTAAATGTGTATACTTATTAGCTACTGGTGAGTGTGTCTAAATGTGTACAATTATAAATGCAAAACTGCCTCTTTTTTTTTTATTGAGACAGTAAGGTTATATTAATCTGTGGAAGCTGCAGTGCTTAATTGTGAAAGGCAAACTGAAGTTAATTCAAGTAGACATGCATTGGATGGAATAAATTGACAATAGCACTGTATTTTACCTGGTTTGGCGTCCTCGCAGCAGGCTTGTCCTGGTGGTTGGCAAGGATGAGAAAAGGCAGTGTGCAGAGCTGCGGGTGCTGCAGGGCTGAGTGGAGCTCGTTACGTGCTGCCTCAAGGTCCTCATCTGATGAGGCACTGTCCAATACGAAGACTACACCCTGTGACCCCTGGTAGTAACGACTCCAATATTTCTTGATGTTGTCAGCTCCTGTAGACAGATGTGATGCCATTAAATGTGTCAACTTTGGGGACTGGTAATTATCATAACTGACATTGCTGTTGTCACGGGAAAAACCTCCTACTGACAGATATACATGCCATGCTGTGCATCATCAAAAATAATAATCTCATAAATGTCAGTTTGTGAATAGACATGTTGAGGTGTACGATCCATAGAATCTTGATTTGAACAATAGATTTTCAGTAAACAAGAACACCAAAATATTTTCCAGGTAAAGATGTAAAAAGTTTATTTCCAAGCAATTACTACTGCGATGTTGGTGTTCAATCATTTGGAGGAAATATAATTACGATATTAATACAATTGTACTATTTATAAGGTCAAACATACACAGTATTTAAAACTTGTTTTTTGTAAAAACTAAAATCACTCAGCATTACAGGGGGGATTTTACATATTTTATGCCAAATTTCTCAGCTCCACAAGTCAATGTTAAAACAGATGAGTGGTCTCCAAAGTCTATAAAGTAATTATACACATTCACTGGATTATTCGAAAGGAGTCTGGGATGATTTTCAAGGCCACACTGACATTGCGTTCACAGTGAACGACATGTGGTTCCTTTTTTGTGTGCTAATTTGGAGCAAGAACATCCACTCACAACGGTTTTTAGTTCACAGCAACTGTATTTGTTAGTGTAAGTAATTTGAAGAGGAGACCTACATGCTCACAAAATGAGTCACTCGTGTCGGTTTTGCCACCAGCTCCCTCTACTACCAGACCGCTCTTTTGCTCACTGACAGTGTAGGCAATGCTTTTGAAGAAGGAAGTAAATACGTTTTAGAGAAATGTGTACAAACATCATTTTTTTTAATTATTCTTACAATAAAATCCTGCAAACTTTCTTCACTTTAAGGGAACTTGCCCAAGTTCTGTCCAAAGCCCATCTGCTTTGTATTCTTCTCCTCTTTCTATTTATTATTTCTTATGTGCATAAACACAAAACAGAGGTAGATATGATAAGTAAGGAGATATTATACAAGAAGATATATGACAAGAACAAGACATTACCCCCAAAAAAATAAATTAAAAAAACACACACCCAAAAACAAACATCTTGTTTTAGTAGATGCAGAACACTGCCTTGACCATAACCTTACATTTCTCTGCAGCAAAACATTGCCATGTGATTCATGGAGCTTAGCAGGGCCAGTTCACTGGGACATTCTCTGACAGGCTCATTTGAGGGCAATAAAGTCCCTTTACAATCTTCAGCAACCATGTCCCTGTCAATAAACAATCCTTTCACACAGATCATCATTTTTCAATCCAAAACTCAGAAAGAAATGTACTGGAGCTTCAGCTTCAACACACGTGTATGACTTAATGTCCTGTCTGCAAATTGGACACCTACAGTACACTGGATCTGGAAATGCTCAACCTTTTACAAGCACATCTACAACCTTTGTTCCTTTGCCTAGCAGTGAGAGAGGGCTGTTTCTGTTTAGCATTTATGGCAAACTCTAATCATATTACTATTCAGTCCATGAAAAAAAAAAAAAAAAAGGTTAGGAATGACTGCCCGATGACAGCGTCTGCTGTCGCCCTCTCTTCATTGATGCTGACAAACTCACTCAACACCACAAGCCATGATATGCCAGTCATATCCTCCATGTTACTCATGCTCCATTCGCAATGGGACATCTTGCTCCTTTGTTGTGACTATTGGAATCCATTGTGACTGACTGAACACAAGTTCACCACAGCTGCTGATCTCTTTTAATGAGGAAACTACAAATCTCAAGCCAGCAGGAGGTGCGTTTTTGTAACTCCAAAGATAAATTTAATATAGTCAATACAGGGATATCCCAGTTTATCTTAACAAAAATAAATCACAATAATCTTGAAAAAAAAAAAAGGTTTTATTTGATTTTCTCATTTAAAATAGTGATCACTTCTGAACTGTGTACTGATATTTTCCTTACTAAGATGTTCAGGCAGGATGGAGGAGGGAAATTTTGGTTAACTTATGGACCAGCCGTGTATATCAACAAGTCCCTTCCCTATCTCAAATACACTTTAGTATTGTAATTTCAGATTTATATTGTCTAATGTAAAAAATAACGATCTTGTCTTCTGCTCTCAGATTTTGATTACATTTCATGAACTAATTTGGAAGCTGCACATGTTTTTCATTAAATCGTTCTGTTTGTTCTACACGCTCACCAAACTTGTAAGCACACAACTAGAGGGTCCCATCACATTGCATACGCAAGTACATGCATTTTCTTTTACAAGGTTGTGCTTTCTCTGGTTAAAATTATCCTCCTCCGTCTGTTGAGGTTACTTCCTTTGCAATCTCGTGACCTGTTTTGTTATTGTTGCTCATAGTAAGGTAATTGCCAAGAAGTGACGAACTGTGAGGCTGGCAAATGTTTAAACATCACGAAGTGCTCTCTGTGACATTTACCTCCCTTCCCTTGTGCTCTCCCTCCCTTCCGTCTTTCCTCCCCCACTCTTTCTACTCACACCTCTGACTGGAGTGGAAAGCTATCAGACAAAGTGGCACTTGAGAGATTGACTAGGAAGTTTCTCTCATCTTTGCCTGGAAATGGTGGAATGTCCGTCACGTCTCATTGGATCTTGTTGGCAACTTCTGCCACCTATTGGTCTGACAGGAGGATTTCCAAACATGACGTCATGATTCTTGGGGGATGCTGGCAGCCCTACTACATATCATTAATCAAATAAGTGCACCATGAGTAAGACCTCATTCCTTTGCTTGTTTTCCTCCCTTCCTTTCTACTTCTCTGTTGTTTAAGACTTTTGTTTATATGATCTTTATAGCTATAGCTTGTAATTATATATAAAAAAAAACATGGTTTCACTGAGGGGTAATGAGCCAAAAATCAACAGCGCAGCACAAGAGGTAAAAATAGCATGTCAGTAAAAGTCATGTGTTTTACTGACCCTGTCAAGTTCTGACTCATCAGTTGGAAGACCTATTGCCTCATTCATTCACTCTATGGGTCCTGATTGTGTAAATGAAATAATATATGGCTCTTGAATCATGAAACTAAATCACAAACTAAGTTTAGGAAATTACACGAAGAATGAATTCCTTGCAATCAACTCATTAAAAATATCACCCAGCATAGCCCAATTCTTCTGGTATGTTTCATTGGCTGCACTTAACCGAATAATACACAACTGGATACTTTACATTAAATATTATTATTATATAAATGTCCACTTCTAGCTTAAGATACGACTTGCATGTCCCAGAATAGCTTTAAATATCCTTTTCACTTGCCTGGAGTTGATACATTTAGCTGTTGGTTAATGTATAGGTGCAGAGAGTTACAAAGGAAGCTATTAGGGGCGGCTGTGGCTCATAGGCAGAGCGGGTCGTCCACTTATCGGAAGGTTGTTGGTTTTTTCCCTGGCTCCTCCCGCCACGTGTCGATGTATCCTTGAGCAAGATACTGAACCCCGAATTGCTCCTGATGCTGTGCATCGGTGTGTGGATGTGTATGAATACGTTAGTTTCTGTTCGATGGGCTTTGCCATCACTGAGTGAATGTGTGAGAAAGGGGGAATGTGGCACGTAGTGTAAAAGCGCTTTGAGTGGTCGGAAGACTAGAAAGGCGCTATACAAGTACAGGTCCATTTACCATTTATGTTAGTAATGGCAACAGAGCAACAATTTCCAGTCAGAATAAAATATCATAAAACGTACTGTATCTTGTGTCTGCAATACATAATGGTCTACTAAGGCTACCCCTGGCAAAAGAAATTGGTATCTTTTTCTTTTTTCTTTGCTTTTCCAAGATGGATTTCATCCCTGTTTGAGTTGTTAAACATTAATACAAAATTGTGGATCAGCTATGGGGTATTTAATCTTAATCTTTTGAGGGAATAACCCTAAAACCTAATGTTTACCATTGTTAATTGGTTATCCTGTTAAATATCATTACAGCTCTCCTGGTAATATCTTTTTGTGACAGATTTTCTATGTACTCATCTTTTCATATGAATCAAAGCACTACACTAGCAGACAAAAGAAGGGCACAGGAAAAATGTATACTACTGTAAGTTGAACACTGCAGACCATATTTTTTATAGCTGTAAAAATTATTTTATGCGTTCTATATGAAACAAGATATTAATCAATGCTATGATTTCAACATTTCTGACAATATTACAGTGTGGAAAAAAACAAGTATGTGATGTCAGTCTGTGATGTCAGAGAGTAACCCTCTCTGGGATCAAATGGATAGAAATCTGATCTGAGGAAAACACCTCGCCCAGCCCACCCATCCCTCCCTCCCTCTTTCACTCAACCAAGCAAGACTTTTTCAACCCTCTGTAGCAAATACAGACAGGCTGAAAGTGTAATTATTTATTCAATCCACTGCATATAATATATGAATGTTTAACATTTATGCATGGGTTGAGGTCTGGAAGACATGAATCTTAATGATTGTATTGTATGTACATGTGCTATGCTTCATAGACATTTGATGATTCATTGCATATACACAGCCAACCGCTAAAGGCCACTGTTATGTGAAATGCTTACCACTCATTACTGATGCAGCCAACTTCCCAGTCTATGAAACATTTCTTATTATTCTTTTTCCGTTGTGTTGTCAGAAAAGTAAATTACCAATGGTAAACTTTCATATACCTTTGTGCTTTTGAATTCATGTTAAGTAAAGTCTCTAGCTGTAGTTTTTAGGATCTAAATTGACAGCTAATGTTGATGGTCAATCAATTGTTCAAGTCATTTTTTGATAAAAAATGTCAAATGTTACTTAGGTCCTGATTTTTTATTATGTTTTTTTAATTATGAGGATAAGCTGTTTTTTGTGTCTCCTGTGATAATAATTGTATATTTTTTGGGGTCTTGGACTGAAAAAAAAGAAATTGGTGCAAGGAGCACTTTTGACAATTTTCTGACAGTTTATAGACAGAACAATTAGTCCGGTAATCAAAAACAATAGGTAGTTGCAGCTATAGTAGTG